GGTTTGGGAGAAATAACAAAAACACAAAACTTATTAAGAGCTACAATTAAGATGTGTAAGGGCCATGATCGCCCACGTCCTAAAAGGACACGGCACATAAAAGAAGAAGTAGAATTTTGATTTTATACATGACTTGTGAAATTATAGTACAAAAGAATTTCGAAAACTATTATTTTTCAAAAATTCGAGTTAAATTCAAAATGTATTATTTTTGTATTTACTGATGCAGTTTTAGAATTCGGCAATGCTGTAAAATCAATGCAACTAGTTATTTTCATATCGAAATAGTAAACACGTTACTGCAACATATGTTGTGGTGCTCCTGCTATATATTTAAAGATGTTTCATAAAATTCCCAAGAAGAATCTGCAATGTTATTGGTCCTGATCTGGCATCTCAGCTTCAGTCATTTTCCAACCACGGTAACATACCCTATGCTTTTTCTATAAATACTTTCATGGTAACTGTTCAGATGAATGGTACCTATACATTATGAATTTAAGCGCAGTACTAGATTGGCAGCTAGGTCTCATCATTTTACTGTGGATTTGGTTAGATGTAAGCATGGTTCTCTATGGTAACAGTTTTTTTTCTCTCGCACATCTTAACTTTCTTCCTCCGGCTTCTTGCTTTCCAGCTATCTTTGATCTTCAAAAATTTAAATTAATCGTTATCTACTGTCATCTTGATTCCTCTCTTTTTTTATTGTTCTCGCTCATTAATAATGTTTTTCTTTTCCTTATTCTTTCATCCTCGGTAACCACTTGCGTCTTAGTGGTTTTATTGCCTTGCTTGGGGTGAAATGATTGAAAAAATAAAGTAGAATTGCAATTTCAAAAATCACACTTGAAAGTATCAATGGGTGTTTATGTTGAACTTCAAGATGTCAAATTGTTGTGCCCTGTATCCACCCGCAATCGATCTATGTTGTGTTTCTCTTGTTATTGTTTGTAAATCTTTGTAAGACAGACAACAGTTTGGGTGGCAGTTTAAGATTAAGTAGGCTTTAATTTGTTTGAATTACACAGGAAATTTTGACAAGTATTAGAAAAAAAAGTATTACAAATTCTTTAACTCTGTCCACAACAGTTGCGAACGACACAAAATCATTTGTCCAATCTCCATGTAATTTTCACTTACGAATTTCTTTCTAGTATTTTCTATTTTTATACGAAATTAATTGGTCTACATGCATGCTCTGCAATATGGTCTATTTCTTCAGGGATTTCTTACTTTTAAACAAACATTATATTTGTGATCATTAACAGAAAAGCATTCTCCCTACATTTGCTGTATACGCATATAGGGTAACACTTTCAAACACTTTGTGTCAGTGGTAGTAAACATGGCCTGTGTAGTTACGATTTGTTCTCGTTGTCCTTTCTTTGTATTTCAGATTTTATTTTGTATCTTCTTGGACATATGAAGAACATCAACAGAAGTACATCTTGTATAAATATCTTGTACTATCACGTACATACTTGAGGCGTATTTCTCAACTGAATTAAGTCTTATCAATTGTAGTATTTTATCGGATATACTTAGGACGTATGTCTCAACTGAAATTCGGTTTTCGGATAACACTATAGACAACTTGAAAAACTTTTTCTCAAGAATAGTAAATATGGTCTATTTAGTTAAGTCTTGTTCTCGATGTTCCTTCTTTGTATTTCAGATTTTATTTTGTATCTTTGACATACATCTCAACTAAAAATATTGTCAACTGAAGTATATATATATATATATATATATATATATATATATATATATATATATTAAAAATGTACACACTTTGCATTGATAAAATACGGATTCTATATGACATTTATTATTCAGAGGACAATTTTCAGAATTTCTACAGTTACATAATTTTTCTTTATTTTTGCATGTTCTTATTTCAGGATCGATATTTCTTTGATTAATCTGATTAATCGAGATTTTGTACTTTCTCGTAAATGCTTATGACGTATTTCTAAAGTGAAATACGTCTTTAATTATAAGTATTTTCAAGGTAAATAAATACTTATACCAAATAAGTATTTATTCAGGATTTTGGCATCATGTTTCTTGATAATCCTTTCTAAGTTCTCAGTACAACTGTAGCTTATTTTAAAGGTATTTTTATTAAACATTTTGCTGAGTTTACTATTTCAAGGAAATTTTTTTTCGATTAATGCAAGGAATTTTTATTCTAGTTTATTTATAAGCATTTGGTTGAATTGGGGGGGGGTACACCAAATGATTTTTCCATTTCTATTTTTTCTTTGGATTCTATTATAATTCTTTACATGAATAATCTGATTAATCGAGATTTTGTACGTTCTCGTAAATGCTTATGACGTATTTCTAAAGTGAAATACGTCTTTAATTATTAGGTTGGTGCAAAAATAATTTCGTTTTCTCACATAGAAACATATGTTAGAAAACGAAATTATTTTTGCACCAACTTTAATATAAGTATTTTCAAGGTAACTATATGCACCTTTCACTGTAAATAATACGCTATGGAACTTTTTCTCTAATTCCTTCCCAACGTTTTGCTCATCGAAGTAAAACAAAGTTATTCTAATATTCTATCATTATTTTTGATTTAGTTTCATTTCAGTCCTTTCAAAAAACAATCTCATTATTTTTCACATAAGCTGACAAATTGAACGAATTACTTACCCTGTGTCTAATTCCCTTGTATGTGCAACTTAAAGTGTATTCAAGGGATTCGATGATAGAATCCTAAAACAGAAAAAATATCAAACATAAATTTTTTTACATTCCCCACGCTCATGTTTTGACATTGTATAATTTTCATTATTTTTATATTTGGTAAAAAACTTTGAACCGACCAGAAACCGTACACAGTTGATCAGTGAATTTAGAAGACAGTAACAGCGAAACATTATCGAGTCGTATACAGGGTGAAAATAAATGAACGCCAAGTTTTCAAACAATTATAATTCAAAGTAAACAATTGTGAAAACAACAGCATATATTTTGAAACAAATGGGGTATGAAATGGGGTTTATGAAATTGTTGGGGGTTATGAAATTGTTCGTCCATTTTGTTGTATAAACAAGGTTGCACGTTTGATCAAATTATCAATAGATTATCCATATCTTGACGTCTGTGCTCGGCTTCTAAGGAATGTCTTCCACTTGAAGGAATATCCTGCAGTGCCTTTGTGGATCTAAACTTTTCTATCAGACGAGTAATGGTTGATAGAGCAAAAAAATCTTGTTTTAAATTGTTCCTTGTTTTATGATAAGCTCTCATCGTTACTGTTGCACTCTCCTGATTGACATTATATAGCTTCACAAACTCCAGTCGACAGTTTAAACTAAACGTTGACATATTTCCCAGAGCGTAGCCTCACGTGTCGATCCTCGTCAACGGCAACCAATAATTAGCCCTATGCCCCGCATTGGTCTTCAAGTTCTTTCAGATCACTGAGGCTACCATCTAACTGACTCTTCACTCGTTAACGCGTGGCTCTTTTATCGTTGGTATCGCGATGATGAGCACGGTTCCACTTGAGTTAGCTGGAATTTGTCTGCCCACGACCATTCACTCCTCTGACACGTTGTGTTTTTGATCTCAGAGGGTGAGAAGATCCCTGATGAAGCAAACTGAAGTGAAAACGGTTCGACAGCTGGGAGACACACAAAAAAGAATCCTTTGGAATAAAGAATTAATTCGGGTGAAAAATGTTACAACGATTTGGTTTATATATGATTTGTTGTATACAGCGGTTTAGTGTTATAATCAAATGACACTGGGATCACCTTTGGAGTCTTCAGCTTGTTTTAGTAGTGACTTAAATTTCTAAGTTCTGATCTGCAGGTACAAAGTCTTGGTCAGGAAATCTCGGCGAACGATGTGGATTCCGTTAGCAGTAGGGGACCCTTCAAGTTGACTAAACCTCCAGATTATATGGAACCCTGCGTCCAGCAAATAGGGTGCAAACCAGGGTCTGTGTTCCATTGTCTTCCACCCTGATCACCAAACGTTTCTAAAATTCCATATTCTCAAAATATGTTTACTTGTGTGAGTTTCCAAATTTGGGGTTATCCAACCCCCTTTTGAAAAAGCAGTCAGTTAAATCCAACTCTCTTCACGTCGTGTCTCGCACCATCACCACATATAGGCGGTGCTAATCTCTTTTTTTGTTTTCCTACTTTCCCAGCATCTAACTTCAGCCCACTCCAAGGGTCGGCACACCGTTCCGTTTACGAATCCAAACTTTCAGTTAATCTAAACTTTTCAGTCAATCTCAAGAATTGTCATGTGTAGGAATGAAAAAGAAAGAAAAATATTCCTAATCTCTCTAGTGATAAAAACAAGTTTATCTTTCCTCTGTTTTTGAGTTTCTACGTTCAACTAGACCACACTTATTTATTATTATTATTATTTTAAAACATGAATTTTGCAATTTTTTAAAATTTTCTTCAACTTTTAATCCATCTTACTATACTATTCTAATGTTAAATAAAATACAATTTAATCAGTTTTACATTGGTGTTAATCCATTAACGCCCATCGTAAAACACGGTATTAATTATGAAAAATAAATATCTGGTATTAATTACAAGTTAATAAAAATTTCGGCATTTATTATCCTCCTCCTCCTCCTCTTACTTAGCAGTACTAAACTCCTCTGTAAAAGCTTCACTACGGCATTACTGCTGTAGTTTCTGCTGCAAGTAGGTTCTTTTACGGAGTGTTGTCAGGTCGACGCCGAATCGATTTTGAATTTCTAGACTGAAAGCCAACCAAGGCTGGAACTCTCAATATGTCTTGCTATTTAACCCATAGCTTGAGGAATAAGAGATGGATTCATACATTTCGCAAATGTATTTGGGCGAGAGTGAACGTAAAAAAAAACTCGACTGGAATTCCAACGAGGCACGCCGATGCCACTTACCGCGACGATAACTGCCACCCTACGCGCATATCAGTTATTGAGTAAAGGTTTATAAAAATCCACTATTATTCATAAGTTTATAGGCTTACGGCCATATGACGTCGAAACACCGGTTCTCGTACGAGCACCGACGTTAAGCAACGTCAAGCCTGGTTAGTACCGAGATGAGTGACCACTTGGGAATATCAGGTGCAATAAGCAGGTGCGAGTGGTGTAATGGATAATGAGCCGAGTTTCAATTCCAGTTCACTTACGCGCAATTACCCTTGGGAAATCTATGAATCCACCTTTTTTCCCCAAAGCTATGGGGTTAATTAGTAGGATTTGTATCAATAAATCATTATTATCTCCAAAAATTCTTACAATCTACAAATATGTTTTGGCTTTAAATAACCAGTAAAAGATTGATAAGCCGTAAAAAACACAATACATCGATATAGAATGATAAAAATTCGGAATTAATAATAGCTTTCTCCTCATTGACTCATGAATTGAAATTAGACAATGATCATTAATGATTAATTAATTTATTTCAATATTTACTCCAATCCAACTTTGTTGGAAAGAGAAATCCAGTTCTTGTTTTATGTATCCATTTTTGCAGACGACATTTTAAGTGCGGTTTGGTACTTTTCGGTTAAGAAAGAAAAATTGGTAAAAAACGAAGACAATATTCAGAAAGAAAACTTTGTAGAGAAACAAAATGTCCACACACATTAGAATAAACAATGCTGTCGACATATTTTCACATTTAACGTTAATACATTGCAATTATTTCTTAATTATGAATTACAATTGCCCCCTCAAAGGTCTCACCTGTGAGTTATTGTTAATATTAATCTCTTCCAGATCCGGGCATCTCTTGAATAAAACCACTTTAACTCCTGATTCCAATGTTTCCATGTCCAAGTAGCCTTCTGGATAGCTTTCTCGGAATTCCCAAGACTCTTCTTCATGAAATGGAATCTTCAAAATTGCCGTTCCTGGTCGATTAAGCGTCAATTTCAAAAGAAAAGAATTTTATTAAGACAATCAAAATGACGTTTATGTAGTTTTTCATTTGTAATTAACATAATCTATACTGATAATTCCACACCTCGAAAATCAATACAAAAACCAAATATCGAAACTGTCTGATATTGCATTTCAAATGCTCCAAAAATACACTGCTAATGTCCTTCGAGATAGTGACATAGGCGTAGATGTAGGGATTGGCTAATCAAGTGTTGTTATTATCTACTAGTAGCGAAGTTAATCCGTAAATCATGTAGTAAAATCCATATAAGAGTAATCTGGTTTAAAAGGGTCAAACGAAAAACAGTGTCACAAAAATATTACAATATCAGCCAAAATAATGGTTATTTTAGTAAGAAATTTTGCCATGTAGTGAGATCATGGCTCCTCACAGGTTCTTTTTCTCTTATTATCTGTGAGGCGCTATGATTCTTAGGAAAGGCAGTGGATTGGTTTCCCGTTGCCTTCTCTACGGGTTTGAATTCAAACTATTCTTTTTACGAAGCTGGCAGCCACCCAGGACTAGAGAGTCAGTCTACTCTGCTAATTAACCCATTCTTGGAGCTGTATCCTTTCAGAATGTAGGCGATCATGGCTCTCCACAGATTCCTTTTCTTTATTATTTGGGAATTGCAAATGCCATGTCCCTTCAGGATGTAGGCGATCATGGTTCTCCACAAATTCCTTTTCTTTATTATCTATAAATTGGCATGATAATTCGGAAAGATAGTAGAATAGTTTTCCGTTGCTTTCACCATGATTTTGAATTGAGAGTAGACTTTCTTCTAGACAGGCTACCACCCAAGGCTAAATAGTCAGTCTACACTGTTATTTAATCCATAGCTTTGAGTGGGTGGAGAAGAAATGGATTTCCTCCTTTATCAAGTGGATTTGTTGAAAGTGAATGCTTCAGTCTAAACTTGGATTTGAACCTGTCTTGCCGAGTCTACGTCCTCCAACGATAACCGCTGCACATTTTGTGACATATAAAGATTCTACATTCCTAGTTAGGCCACGAATCCTGTAAGGATGCTGGGACACCACATGTACTGTAGTTGTAGTAGCAGTGGTTGTGTCTAGGGGAAGGGTAATCTGGCGGAGCCCATTTCTGTTCACGTTGGTTTCGAATTAATAGTTCAAATCCTAGAGCGGGTGCTACCCAGGGCAAGAGATCGCAGTCTGACGTCATAGTTGGGGGCAGATAGATTCATGCCTTTTCCAATGGCATTAGTGCGAAGAGAACGAAACAAACTCGCTCAGAATTTGAACTCAGCACAACCGATTCCATTTTCCGTGTCGGTAATCGTCATAGTTTTTGGGACGTATAATGAGGAATGAGGGCTTGGAGAATTTAACACTCAGAGGATATATTGAAGTTACTTATAATAACAAAAGATAGGAAGTTGTAGAGGAACATGATATGCTACTCACATATCTGATAGGTTAATGACAAGCATAAATAAATAAATAAAACAAATCTTATTTTAATTAAGTTCATTTTGATTGATTTGATTTGGTTGATTTTGTTTAGAGGCATATCAACCGCTATGGGTTATTCAATGCCGAAATCTAAATATTTTGAACGCAATTTTATGGCTTCAACTACAGATAAGTTGGTATTGTTGGTAATTCTGCTATACATAGGTATTGTTGGTAATATTTTTGTATATAAATATGTGTTGCTGATATTTTTTCGTAGTCTTTTGTTTTTGTTTGTGAGTTCACTATTGGCTCATAGCTGGGACCCTAACAGATGCTAACATCCCGGGTCAGGTTGGATCTGCGAACAACAGCATTTAAGGCTCCAGGCTCTTGAAAACCTCCAATCACCCGATCACAGACCTTATAAACCAGTACCTGGATATACCCTATTTCTGGTTTTGATGCCACTTGATCGCCAAAATACCCTCATCGATCCCTTTACTTTCGCGTTGCCCTTCGATTAAAGTGGATGTCGCTTAGAAGACCGATCTTCAAAAGGAACTATCTACTGGTCTATCAAACAGAAACACTTGAGACTTAGATAAAACCGCCCCTCTCCCTTCTACGTGAAAGTCCTTAACTATTAACTAAGCGTATCTTAGATGTAGCACAACATCGAATGTATGGAGCACCAGCCCTACTTAATCGTAGATTTCCAGTTCCTTTTTAAGGATTGGGTTTTCGGTTATTTTTAAAAGTCTTCTTCAACTCTATACTTCTAAAGTCTCCGCTTAAAACTCTGAACTTTTTATTTACTGTTGACTTACTTTTTATTTTCTCAATAGGAGTAGATAGGTTCGCCTATCGTCCAGTTCACACTCCTCCCCAAGCTTTTGAACAGGAGTAGACGTTTATCCCTTGTTTCTTGTTTAGGATTGGGTTTCCGGTTCCTTCTAAAGCCTTTTTCTACCTCGAATGACTCTTAGGCCTTGAATAGAGTGAATATTATCGTTAAAAAAGAATTGATCTAGCAAGACCATCTTGCTAACCATTACACAACATCGAAGTGCTGAACATGGGTTTCCATAATATTGCAACATAAAGGAACTGCCCAAATCAAATGACTTTGATTTCAATGGTAATAGTAACAGTAATATTAGCCGTTTCTTTACAAGGAATGAGCAACTCAAATAGTTCTAAAGATGGAGTTTCAATCAAAGACACTCACTAAGTAGCTATAATGAAATTAAAATATTCGTATAACGATTCTTAAAAGCATTATGCAATTTTAGTGTTAGGGTTAGGGTTAGTAGACCTTTTTTTTAATTAAACCACTTTTTGGAAAGCTTGATTTTGCTTATCAAACAAAAGAAATTAAATTGATTGAAGTAAATTTACCGTATATTTCCATGTATAAGGCGACCTATAGAAAAATCGAGACCAATATCTAGGTAAATTTTCGTGATTTTATCTGATATCCGTAGAATAAGACGACCAACTAGGACCCATATGTATAGCTGGCCACTCGTTTTTGAGGATACCCGTCAACTAGAGCGGCTAGCCAATTCCTATTTAGCACATTTGTGTTTATTCAACACCCACAGAACCCAACTTGTGGTTTATACAGCAATTATGCAGAACAAACCTTAGTTACAGTTAAAGAGCGTGTTATCTAACAATTTCAACAAGGACAGCAGGCTCAAGTCCTCGGCCACGATGACTTGTGACTTCATGCTAGCACAGGGTTCCGTCAACCCAATTTCACTCACAAGGCCGTGATATACCTGTGATATGGTTTTCAGGCACTTTCCAGTCCGATAACACCAGGAAATCTCTTTCCTGATAAATCGACCATGTTGAGATTCGAACCCGGATCTCATGATCTAATGGTAAATCGACCACCTGCACATATGACGAAACTGTAAATGACAATGTTTATGCTGAACTCTTTACCTCTGAAATGTTTTATTGCTTAACCCTTCAAAATACCGTATAATGTATGCAATTGAAAAATAAATTATACTAAATGTTGTTTGTATTTACCACCACAACAATAATGAGTTTTAATTAGAAATATAGATTGTATGTTATCGTAAATGTTGTTATTTAACGCTTCGATGAGAAAGAATGATTGGTGTGACCACACCTAAAAGCTCTACAAATCAAGAACCAACAAGTTTTTTTACGTTACTTGTGCGTGTTGCTCAGAGGAATTTTTTTGAAATTGTTGTGTAATGGTCTCTTGAATATTGCATTTTGATATGAAATCAAAACGTAAAAGTAGTTTTATTAGATTTATAACTGTAGTACAACATCATTATATGAATTGTTTCAACTAGAAATATTTATATCAGTAGTTACGCCACCGAGGCTGTTGTTAGCTTACAATAGCGCCAACATACTAGCCGATACACCACAGGACTTAAGGTTAGCTTTTTATAACTATTGTATTAGACGACCCCCTATTTTTTCTTTGGTGGGGGTTAATTTTTAAGATTTAAAGGTTGTCTTATATGTGAAAATATAGGGTATCTCTTCTTTTACTCTACTCACCTGCCGGAACATCTTCTCTGAAAGTTTCAATCGATGTATCGATGTTGCACCTGGAACCTTGATAAAAGGGGAAAAATGATTATAAAAACAACTAACATCCTTCATAGCCATATTATCTAACGGTCACAGAAGTTACAATTCTTGACCACTGACAATACAATTTTTCACTTACTGGTAATCATTAAGCAGGAAGGCTATTGGAAA